GTTAAAGCTGATGTATCATCGTAATCTAAAACCGAACGCGTAACTTTGTTTTCGAAAAACAAATAATGAAACTTTGTGATCTGATATCACATGATACCAAAATGTGTGGTGGCGCTTGTGATGATTGTGGCAGCTGTGGCACAGAATCTGCTCCGCTTTAGCCTACCCCTGAATATGGACATGTCAAAGCTTGCACATCAATGAGAAGGAAGTTATCAGGATTATTCAGTGTAATGCCAAACTGGGAAATATTCCCCTTTTGTGTATTACCATCTGGTGAGAATTGATAGCAAATTTTTCCATTATATTGCCAGACTATTATGGCCTTAGGGTAATTATAACGAATGTAAAAAATGAGATATAGACCAAAGTATGTTTTTCCAATACCAGGTGTACCAGTAATCATGCAACCTCTTCTGGCTGGACCACCTTGCTTCCTATTCACCTCAATTAAATCAAGTAACTGCAAATAACAGTTCCATATAAGAAGCCTTAATCCATTATACCATCTCCCAGAAAGAACACACCATCTGGTAAGCACAGCATTCCTCCAAAGTCATTCATTAGTATTAGTTTTGATGGCAATTTCACATCCGTTCTCTCTCCATTGTTGTATAGCATGCCATATGAATCAGTAATCACACCCTTATTTAGTATTAGGCAGACATAATTATTTTCAATCATAGAGTAAGATTCCAGATCATTTAATTCAGCTTCTTCCATATTTTGTGGTATCGGGAACATTATTCTTGCATCAAGAAGTTTTTTCCAAAATTCGACAACATCAGATTCAGCTGTGGGAAAGATTAAAATAAAGATATAATTAGTCATTTCCGCATTTCTTCAGCACAAAAATATAATGCCTTTTGTAGTTGATGGATGAAACAAGTTTGCAACTTTCATCGAAATAATTAAAGCAGCAGACAGAGGAAGCAATGGAAAAAAAAGAGACCTGAATGTCAAAAATGGAAGTTCTTGGCAGCTTTGTGTCTATTTGCTAGTTCTGATATAAGAACACCATATCACTAATTCTACTCTACCCTATATTGCTACATCTACGCACCCTATGTACACACTATTCTATGTCCCCAATGTTTGAGTCACAAAGTCATTACCTGGTTGAGCAGCTGAAGGCAGTTTCTTCAGGAGCACTGCTTAGAAATAGGTGTGCGGTTAAGCAATGAAATGATATTGATAAGAGATAAAAGGGTTGTGATAAACGGGAGAGAGAAGATATGACGACCTTTAGCCATTTAAGTCCGTGATGTTCGGACCCATTCTAGGATTTGACCCATTCTGGGATCCTGAAATGGGTTGGCCCATTTCGATTTTGCAAATATGGGATAATCTACAGAAAATTTTTTATCACCGTAACACATACTAATACTAACAG